TTTTTTTAAATTGATGAAAAATTTTGAAAATTTGAATTAGTTGAAACCTTATTTTTTTGAAAATTTAGAATTTTTTATTTAAAAATTTTCAAACTTACAAATGTTCTTGTAAAACCATTTTTTGCACACCGTTCACACAAGCAAAATGTTTTTTGAATTAATCGAATCGGATGATCCGTTCTCTCAAAAACTGCATGACCATTTTTACACCCTTTGCGCTCCACACCTCCGAAACGGCAGAATTGCCTTTTGCTAAAACGCCTCACGATCGAGTACGAACCGAATGTTTTTTCAATCATACAAATCGGTTATTCCATACTGTCGAATAAACTTCAAAATTAAAAATCTTGGTACGGAACCCAAAAAAAAAATTACACAAAGTGTGAGCACATTATTAAAAATCTTTATTAAATATCTGATAATTTGATGTACATATGTCTAACAAATATTTTTGACTTCATGGCATTTTTTTCTACTTTTTTCACTAGATCTCCGAAACCACTAGACCTGCCTCCCCAAAATTTAATCATCTTGTCAATACAAGTAAAATATTTTGTGAATTATTAAAATCAAATGCTCCGTTATCTTAAAAACTAAATTACAATATTTGGCATTTTTTTGTTCCGTATCTCCGAAACGGCTTGACCTGCCTTTGCCAAAAACTAATCAGCACGTCTCTTTATCAATACGAATCGAATAATAAATGAATCATTCAAATCAGTTGATTCGTGTTCACAAAATCGTCAAAAAAACTTTGTATCCGCACATACACACATACATCAATTTTTTTAAAGGTATGACAAAATGTTCAGAAACCTTTGAAACGTAAAGATATGCAAAAAATTTACATTTTCGATTTTTTTGCGATTACTATAACTTACCCTGACCCTACAGGAAGTTAATTATGAGTGAAATGTGATAAAATTTGAATTTTATTATCATTTATTGTTGCAAATAAGACGAACAAATGGTCCCCCCAGCTCGTAGTCTACGAATAGTAATTAATCAATCTAAATTGAAATATAAAATTGTATTATCGCCTCAATTAAATTTATTACAAAACAAACACAAACTCTACTGACTGGCATAACAATTAATAATGTTCTTAATTGACCGACAAAACGACTGTCAAAATATTAATGTATTACACAAACACACTAAATGATGATCAAGATGATAACCCGAAGACTGAACTTTTATCAAGAAAACATTATTTATTACATAATTACATCAATTTTTAATATATAGAATAATACTACTAGGGAAAAACAAAAGTCTGTTTCAAATAAAATAGAATACTACCATTAAACAAAAGTCTTCTTACTTTTCGAAATAAAATATAAAATAATTTTAATATAATTAAATCTCTAAATGCTTTCAATTATTATTTAAAGTGAACCCGCCAGTAAATAAATCAAAACATTAATAAATCCATGATTTATGACTTGGGGGAATTATTAGTAAAATCGAAACGTGTGTTAACAACGGATGAATCGACATTAAAATGAATTAAACGAATTGATAAAATTGATACGAAAATCAATTGTTATTGATACAATTGGTATAGGAATTTATATAGCATATATATATATATATATATATATATATATATTATATATATATATATATGTGTGTGTGTGTGTATTTAGGAATGTGATTTTAAATTATACCGAGTTGCTGTAGGGTCTTATGATATTAAACAATTTTTTAGAGAATTCAATTTTGTACAAATTTGCCATATATACTATTTGAATCAGATCGACCATTTAGAGGTTACATTAGGTACCACAAAAAAATGCACCGCAAACCATTGCTAAAATTACTTAAAAAAAAAAATACAATATTTTCGGACGCGATTTTATAGTATACCGAGTTGCTCTAGGGTCCCACAATATTAGACTATATAATTAGAAATTTAATTCTGTACAAACTCCTCGAATATATTATTCGAATCAGACCAACCATTTAGAGGTTACATCAGATTCAACGACAAAATGCACAGTAATGCAACGAAAAAATGCACTGCAAACCATTTATCATGGCTAAAATTAATTGAAAAAAATACAATTTTTTCGAACGCGATTTTAAGGTATACCGAGTTGTTCTATTATATAGATTTTATAATATTAGACACTTTTATTAGAAATTTAATTTTATACAAGTTTTTTTTATATACTATTTAAATCAAACTGACCATTTAGAGGTTACATAAGATACAACAAAAAAATGTACGGGTAACGAGTAGTCACAACAAATGCACTTGTTTGGAAGAAAAGAATACTATTTTCGAACACAATTTTAAAGTATACCGAGTTGTTCTAGAGTATTACAATATTAGACAATATTTTTGCAAATTTAATTTTGTATAAATTCTTCGAATAAAATATTTGGATCAGACCGACAATTTAGAGGTTACATTAAATGTACCAAAAAAATGCACTGCAAAGCATTTGCTTGGAAAAAACAATACTAATTTCGAACGTGATTTTAAAATATACCGAGTTGCTCTATTGCATTATGATATTAGACAATATTATTGCAAATTTAATTTTGTATAAATTTGTCATATATACTATTTACATCAGACCGACTATTTGGAGGTTACATTAGATACCACGAAATAGTGCACTAGAAACCGTTTATCGTTGCTAAAATTACTGGAAAAAAATACAATATTTTTGGACGCGATTTTAAAGTATACCGAGTTGCTGTAAGGCTTCCCAATGTTAGACAATATTTTTGGAAATTTAATTTTGTACAAGTTTCTCTAATGTACTATTTAAATCAAACCGACCATTTAGAGGTTACATTAGATACATCAAAAAAAATGGGCTGGAAACCATTTATCATGACTGCACTTGCTCGGAACAAACTGTATTTTAGGACGTGATTTTAAAGTATTTTTGGACGTGATTTTAAAGTATATAGAGTTGTTCTATGGTCTTCCAATATTAGACAATATTATTGGAAATTTAATTTTCTACAAATGCCTCAAATGCACTATCTTAATCAGACTGACCATTTAGAGGTTACATCAGCTGTAACAAAAAATGCACTGGAAACCATTTATCATTGCTAAAATTACTTTGAAAAAAAACAATATTTTCGGATGCGATTTTAGAGTATACCGAGTTGCTGCAGAGTATTACAATATTAGACAACTTTATAGACACTTTAATTCTGTATAAATTTGCCATATACACAATTTAAATCAGACCAACCATTTAGAGGTTACATAAGATTAAACGAAAAAAATGCACCGGGTAACGAATTATCACGATGGCTGGCTGCACTTTAAAAAAACTTTGTCATATCTGTACTTGTTTGAAAAAAAGTATACTATTTTCGAACGCGATTTTAAAGTATACCGAGTTGCTGTAGAGCATTACAATATTCGACAACATTATAGACGATTTAATTCTGTACAAATTTGCCATTTATATATTTAAATCAGACCGACCATTTAGGGGTTACATTAGATTAAACGAAAAAAATGCACCGGGTAACGAATTATCACGATGGTTGCACTGAACATTGTCATATCTGCACTTGTTAAAAAAAGTACTAATTTTGAAAGCGATTTTAAGGTACACCTGGTTGTCTGTAGAGCGTTACAATATTAGACAACTTTATTGACAATTTAATTCTACACAAATTTTCCAAATACCCAATTTATGTCAAACAAAAATTTAAAAAGTTACAATCAAAAATGTGTAAATCTATTCCACTTACCCTCCTGGTGCAACACTTTGTAAAGCGTTATCCACATCCATCCCCGGGTAATTCCTCTGGTAATTCCTGTGATTTCCACCACCAAGTGCTCCAGTTTTCTGAACGACTGCCAGAAAAACAAGAGCACTGAGGGTCACGCACACTAATGCACTCATTTTGTTAAAATTAAAATTAAATTATACAAATGTACACAAAGACACTTGGAAAACACTTTGTTTTCGGTTCCAGTGAATTAATTGGTTTTGTTCACATTCGGAGAATGTCTTGGCACTTCCATGGTAACTGAAAATAAAAAGAAAAAAATTAGTTGGAAAAAAAATTATTTATTTATTTATGTATTTATTTATTTAAATATATAGCCCACAGATTTCTCCAAGAGGACTCAAAAATGCAGTCATTTTACATAATGAATAACAATTAAAATATATACAAAATTACAATATATAGTTAGTAACATAAAATGCTTAACATAAAATTACATATAATGCAGAATGTAACAATATTATTTATAAACAGAATAAGATAAAATAATGAGATATTTGAAAAGAAAATAAATAAGTTAACTTGTGCAGATGGAGATTATTTGATTAGATGAAGTGTTGTGAATATCTATCTCATTATTAATTAAGTTAAATTTAAAGGACATGAGTAGAATAGGCGAATTTAAGAGAGAATTAGATTTAGGAGTAGGATAATTGAAAAATAATTGTGAACGCGTAGATTGCCTTGGAACATTAAAGGATAGTTGATTAACAATAAGACGACAGTCTATAGAATTATTGCAAAGTTTAAATAAGAACATAATTGTACAGATAAATCGACGTGAGTCAAGGGAAGAAATACCAAATTCTTTTAATAAAGTGTTGTTGTCAAGCCACGTTCAGGGTAAATTTTATATGTTTTATAATAAAGGTATTTCAGAAATTTTCGCTGAACTTTCTCTATCGCATCAGAGTTGTTGATTTGATGGGGATACCAAATGATCGAACCATATTCTAATTTTGAACGTACATTAGAATAGTACATGCAAAGAAGTGCATTGGTAGATTTAAATTGTTTACAATTCCTCAGTATCAAACCTAAAGATTTATGTGCTCTATTACAAATATCAGTTATATGATCCGTGAAAAACAAACCAGAATCAAATAGAACTCCTAAATCTGAAATTTTATTACATCTATCAATGCCATTTTATTAGACATTTTATAATAAAAAAGTATTGGAACGCGCTTATGTGAAAAACTGAGAATCTTGCTTGCACTTTGATATATTTAAATGTAATTTGTTATAGACACACCAAGAGTGGAAAGAGTCAAGTTGAGACTGTAATAATAAGCAGTCATAAATAGAATTTATTTTGAGATATAGTTTGAGATCATTTGCAAATAATAAATGTGGACAGCTAATAATATCAGATATGTCAATAATAAAAATAATAAATAGTAGTGGACCAAGAATGGATCCCTGAAGAACACCTGAACTGATATTTTCAATGTTGCTCAAGAATCCATTAAGATAAACAAACTATTTACGTTTATTATGAGGATTTTTAAAACCACTATTTTTTTATTGAGACCAATCCATATCCGTCACTGTTTTTTATTTCTACACTTAACGAATCGTTTTCTCACAGTCTCACAATCTCACAATCCAGTCAGTCAATCTAATAAAAATTATAAAAGAGCATTTTGAAAAGTGTCCAAAACACTTTGTAATTACTACCAATCATCATCAGCTGTCAGAGATCAACAAATCAACAATGGACAAAAGTCAATAATCAAATTCTTGATCTTAATTAAATTCACACTAATTAGTAAAACGATTTTATAATTGGTGTACGAGGATCATAAAATAAGTGCTCAAACATGGAAGGTACTGTGACGTCACATGCCTGAGCGAACATTGCCGACGACTTTCCTGATTGATTAAATGTCATATGTCATATGTTTTATTAACTTCCCGTAGGGTAGTTATAGTAACTGGCCAAAAATAGAAAATGAATTTTTTTGCATTTCTTCACGTTTCAGAGGTTTCTGAACATTTTGGCATACCTCAGAAACTAAATGAATGTGTGTGTCTGTTTTGTATGTCCGCATTTTTTCATCCACGTTTTCGGGCGCACGGATCAACCGATTTGAATGGTTCAAAAAACATTCGATTCCTATTGATAGGGAGATGTGCTGATTATTTTTTGGCAAAGGCAAGTCCAGCCGTTTTAGAGATACGGAGCAAAGAGTGCAGAAAATAGAAATCGCTTTCTGCTTGTGTTAATGAAACATTTGATTTTGGAAAAAAAAAAATTTATTTCCAAAATTTTTTTTAATATAGAAAAGAATTCGAACTTTAATTTGTTCCTATGCTCATTTATATAAACAATGTCTTTCATTTTAAATTCGATTGATTAAGTTTTGTTTATTCACTTTTCTGTAAACATATATAAGTTACAGTATTTATAATAATCTATATAAAAGCATTCAATATTTCTCGAATATTCTATTAGGGTACGGGAAGTTCCAGCAATTTGCTTCAAGGCACGATGCCATACACCACTAGTTATTTCAATAGTTTAGTCAATGGAAATTATTTTATTCCTCACGTGAAAATTTAGATTTGCTCGTCAGTAGAGTTCCTTTTGTTTGTTTGCAAAGATATTTAGTTTGTTGGTCAGTAGAGTTTCTTTTTTGATTGTTCTGATTTGCATGTAAATTTTGTAGTCAAAAATTTAGTTTTAATAGAATTTCTTTTATATTTCGTGTTGAAATATAAAGTCCGATTTATTCGAGATAAGTATATTTAGTTTCATCATCCTTTAAAGTTCCCTTTTTAGTTGCTCTATTTTGTATTAAATTTGTTGGCTAATAGTTTAAAAATTTTTATCATTCTCGTTTAAAAATTATTTTTTCTCGTCAGTAGAATCCCTTTTATTCTTCTCAGCGATATTTAGTTTGTGGGTCAGTAGAGTTTCTTTTTCGGTTGTTTTAGTTTGCATGTGAACTCTGTAGTCGAAAATTTAGACAATTCATTTCTATTATCCCCGGTGTTAAAAATTAATTTTGCTCGTCAGTAGAGTCCCTTTTGTATTTTCGCTCGTCAGTAGAGTTCTCTTTTCTCTTGTTTTAGCTTGATCGCAGGAAGAGATTATTTTTCTCTTACTTTGCCGATTTTTATGAAACTTTTTTTTGGCAATATATATCATGGTCTTATAGAACTTACTGAAATATTACGGCCTTACGACAAGTAGTTTAACTTTAAAAATTCATCAAAGTTTGAAAAAATGAGTAGTTTTTTTGACGTTTGTTAAAATTAAAATTAGACGATTTACTTGGTATAATGATATAGTACATGGTGTTAATGAACATACTTAATCATTAAAGTCCTACGGAAACTGGTTCAATTATAAAAATTATTCTTTTTTGAAAATTTGCTGTTAGAAAATACTCCGAGTTAAGGTGTGCATTCATTTTTAATTATAAGTAATAAATCCACTGGGAATACTTTTGATCGCTCATAAATTAATTTATATTCTATTGATTAAGTCGATTATTAACATATATCGGGAAGTTCATGTAACTTGCCTCAAGGCAAAATACTAATACCAACTAGTTAGTTAATTAGTTAATAATGATTTGTGCATATTTAGTAAAATGTTGTACATATGATGGACGAGAACATGTACGCGGACATCCGGTGATGTCAATACTACGACCAGTGCTCTTCCTTTTCTTGATAACACACAAAGTTGCTAAACATTTCAATAAAATAAATTCATGTACGAATAAATAGTTTGCTAATTTAAAATTGGAATGAAAATACTCTTATTTGAATTTGCTCATCAATAGAATCCCTTTCGTTCTTGGGGGAAGAAGTTTAGTTCCTTCGTAGTAACTGGTTGCAAATTTTTATTAGAGGTAATTTTGAATTTGTTCCCTTTTGTTGTAATTTAGTTTGCCCGTACTAAATCTACAATTACGAAATGAATTAATCGAACATCGAACTTTTACCACATGTCGTCGGTCGGAGGATGAATTAATTGGAGTTGTGGTCTGGTACGATTCATATCGAACAATTAAATATATATTTTATATTAACGTCTGTCGTTCTATGACAACATGAACTACATGAAAAGATTGAAATTAAAAGATTTTAAATTTGGACTGATACCAAAATTTAATTAAGATATAATTTAGTACACTGATAAAAGGTGAACCACTAAGTTTTCCTTGTCTTTTTATTTAGACAGATTGTAATTTATAAAAAAATTAAAAATAATTGAACTAGTTTGTTCCAAAATGATCTAATAAACTCCTGTTTTGTCTATTTGGATGTAGTTTGATAATTTTGAACCTATAATGATCTATTTTAATGCAATTTGATTTATTTAGATGATTTTGTTCTATTTTGGTGCATTGTAATCAAATATCTAATTTTTATTTAACCTTCTTCTCTATATTGATCCATTTTTATCTATTCTATTGCTCTATTGCAATCTCAGATCAAAATAGAAACTAGTTAAGACAATTTGCTTGGACTTCCCGTACCTTAATTAAATATTCGAGGAATATTAAATGCTTTCAAATAGATTATTTATTCAAAAACTGTAACTTATATATGTTTACAGAAAATTAAATAAACAAAACTTAGTCAATTGAATTTAACATTGACTAAGTCTAATATTTATAAGAATTATATAAACTAATTTGCAAAGTTAAAATTAATTATTTTTAGTATATTAGTAAGCTTTAGAACTTTAGCTAGAAAAACAGTTAAAATTTGATTTATATTCGATAATTAAAAAATTTTTTTTTGGAAATTAGAAATAACTAGTTGGTACTGGTATTTTGCCTTGAGGCAAGATACATGAACTTCTTGATATGTGTAAATAATCGACTTAATCAATAAAAAAATAAAATTAATTTATGAGAAATTATAAGTATTCCGAGTGGATTTATTACACATTATTGAAACGAACAAACACGTTAACATTGAGTATTTTCTAAAAGCAAATTTTCATAAATTGAAAAGTTTCCGTAGGACTTTAATATTTTAGTATGTTCATTAAGACCAAGTACTCTATCGTTATACCAAGTAAATCGTCGAATTCTAATTTTAACAAACGTCAAAAAACTACTCACTTTCTCAAACTT